CAGATGATGTAAAATATGAGTTTTACAGAAACCTCTCCGACCTCCTCCTAAAAGCTAGGCGCTCGGATGTAGTAATAGTGGCCGGTGACTTTAATGCTCAAGTAGGTAAGCTAAGCGATAGGGAAAGACACCCAGGTGGATCTTATAGCATCGTGGCTCAAAGAACAGATAATGGCGACCGTTTGTCGCAGCAATGCTCAGATAACCTGTTTCTTGCAAATACTAACTTCAGGCATAAGCAAAAACATCTTTTAACATGGCGACCCCCTAATTCGTCCCAACGTTGGACCCAAATAGATCACATCGCTATCAGCCACCGATGGAGGGGCTCGATAGAAGACTGTCGCTCATTCTGGAGCACATGCTTAGATTCAGATCATGCTCTAGTGCAAGCGCGTATTTGCTTGCGTCTTACTGGACGTAGGAAAGACGCTGCAAGGAAACCTCTTAGGGGTCTACTTAATGATAGTCAAGCTAAGAGTATATTTCAGGAACAACTAGGAAAACAGTTAGGCAGCCATGTATGTGATGCCCACCCCGATGCAGCATGGAATGATATCCGAAAAGCTGAGGAAACAGCAGTGATATCTACTAGTAAGGTAAACCAGAGGGTTAGGGAGCAACACTGGATCTCAGCAGCATCTATCGCACTGATAGATGCTCGAAAACTCATTCCACCTGGCTCTGAACATGATGAAGAGCGGAGTCAGCTTAAGCGCAAGCTGATAAGAAGTCTACGCAATGATCGCGAACAGTGGTGGGTAGCGAAAGCAAGAGAGATGGAAAAGGCACCGGCAATAGGTAATAGCAGACAATTGTTCAGACTCGTTAAGGAAACCGGAATTAGGAACCCGACAGTTAGCGAAACAATTTCAGAGAAAGATGGACATATTATTCATTCTCAATCCAAGAGACTGGATCGATGGGCAGAACACTTTACGGATCAGTTCAACTGGCCTTCAGCCACACTTCGGTTTCCCACGATCTCCAGTCAACCTGAATGGCAAGTTAATGTAGGTCCTCCGTCCCTTTACGAAGTTGAAAAAGCCATAAGAAATCTGAAACGAGGGAGAGCAGCAGGCCCTGACAGGTTTACTCCTGAGATTTTTAAGGATGGTGGTCCAGTATTAGCAATGAGATTAACCGAGGTCTTAGGTAGAATTTGGGAACTGGACGTAATCCCATCTGACTGGTCTCAATCACTGATTGTGCCAGTCTATAAGAAAGGACAAAAGTCCTCTTGTGACAATCACAGAGGAATCAGTTTGACTAATATAGTGTCTAAAATATTAGCTTCAACAATACTTCGACGCCTAATCAAAGCTCGTGAAGAGCAGATTAAAGAAAACCAGGCCGGTTTTCGACCTGGACGTGGTTGTATAGATCAGATATTCACACTACGTCAGGTTCTAGAACACAGTATTATTTATTATTATTTTATTTGAACACATATATATTGGTACAGGAGTGCGCCAAATATATATGCGCCACACAATTTCAGTTCATAAATTGCGTGTGGGCTGCGATACTGCCCTGGTGCCCAGACCGAAGCAGGTGGTTATCTTAGGGGGCCACACCCCGAGCCCTTGACCTGAAGGTCTAACCCACAAGGCAGTGGAGCATCGTAAGGAGATGCAGTCCCATGGTAGCCGGTGACCGAAAATTGGTTCATACGCCATTTGTTCCCGCAGGATACTGGTGCCCATGTGCAACATAGATTTGGAATCCGGTTAAAGCGCCGGACATTCGCTTTTCGTCCTCTCATTTTCGTAAACAACACCCCCGCCACGAGAAGGCAGTGAGTAGGGCTTCCCTGGCAGAGGCTGTATACGCGCGGCCGTGTGAGTATTTCGAGAGGGAGGGCGAACCCACCCCGCTCTCGGCCATACCAGGGCGTTTGGGGGCTCTAGAACACAGACACACATTCAGACGCCCCACAATGGTAGTATTTCTCGACCTTAAGGCGGCATTCGAATCTGTCGATCGTGAGGTTCTATGGCAGTGTTTGTCACTGAAAGGAGTACCAAAGAAGTACATTAACCTTATAAAGGCTCTCTACTCGAACACAACTGGTAGAGTGAGAGCTTATGACGAACTGTCGTCAGAATCGATTACCTCAAGTGGTGTTCGTCAGGGCTGTCCACTCTCCCCATTCTTGTTCAACTTTGTGGTCGACGTACTCTTAGAGATAACACTCTCTTCATCTAAATTTCCAGGGGTTGAACTTCTACCGGGAGGTTCATTTGTTGAATATGCAGATGACATAGTTTTATTTGGTGAAGACGCTGACAAAATGCAGAGTCTTCTGACAACTCTAAGCAGCAATGCAAGCATGTTCGGGATGCGATTCTCTCCCTCGAAATGCAAAATGTTGCTTCAGGATTGGGTTACATCGACACCCGAACTAGTGATAGGGAGTGAAGTAGTTGAGTGTGTCGACCGCTTCACTTATCTTGGAAGTCTCATCAGCCCTTGTGGTTTGGTGTGTGACGAAATCTCAGCACGGATACAGAAGGCTCGACTAGCTTTTGCCAACTTGCGTCATTTATGGCGTAGGCGAGATATCCGTCTATCACAACACTACGGATCATTGTGAAAAAATCAATTGAATGAAATTCATCACTCTACATTAAATTCATTGACTACGAGAAAGTATTTGATAGCGTGGACAGGACAACACTATGGAAGTTTCTTCGACAGTCAATATCATACGAATTTCTATGATGGATTAAACTGCAAAATCGTGCATGGAGGACAGTTGATAAAGTCGTTTGAAGTAAAGGCCAGTGCCAGGCAAGGTTGCTCACTCTCACCCTTTCCCTTTCTCCTGGTGATCGACTGGATCATAAATACGTCAACGTCTGAGGGGAAGCATAGGATACTGTGGATAGCTAGGATGCAGTTGGACGACCAAGACCTCGCAGATGATCTGGCTCTTCTATCGCACGCATAACAACAAATGCAGGAGAAGACCAGTGCTGCTGCAGATGCTCCAGCAGTAGGTCTCAACATACACAAAGGGAAAAGCAAGATTCTCCGATACAACACAGTATGCACCAATCGAATCACACTTGATGGAGAAGATTTAGAAAACGTAAAAACCTTTACATATCTGGGCAGGATCATTGATGAACTCGGTGGATCTGATGCAGATGTGAAGGCACGGGTCGGTAAGTCAAGAGCAGCATATCTACAATTGACGAATATGTGGAACTCAAAACAACTGTCAACCAACACCAAAGTCAGAATTTTCAATACAAATGTCAAAACAGTTCTACTGTCTACTGGGGTGGAAACCTGAAGAACTAAGAAAGCCATCACCCAGAAGATACAAGTGTTTATTAAGAGCAATCTACGCAAAATACTTCGGATCCGTTGACCAGACACTATCAGCAACGACCTATTGTGGGAGAGAACAAACCAGATCCCAGAGGAGGAAGAAATAAGGAAGAAGTGCTGGGAATGGATAGGACGCACATTGAAGAAATCACCCAACTGCGTCACAAGACAAGACCACACTTGGAATCCTCAAGGTCAAAGGAAAAGAGGAAGACCAAAGAACACATTACACCGAGAAATGAAGACAGACATGGGAAAAATGAACGAAAATTCGAAAGAACTGCGAAGGAATGCCCAGGACAGAGTGTATTGGAGAATACTGGTCAGCGACCTATGCTCCATTGGGAATAACAGGTGTAAGCAATTAGTCAACAACTACCTAGGGTAGATGTTACATATAAGCCTTGACCAGCTGGTTGCTAAACTTTCGGACAATGAAAAAAGGTGGAAACATGTATATTAACAACAATAATAAACTAGTGACCAAAGCTAAAATGCGGAGAAACTGAGCGACTCTTAAGATAACCTTAGAGAGCGGAAAAAGCTTTAAAGAAAAAGATTTTAATGCCTTTAGTCGTTAGAACATGACTCGTAGTTCTGACGATTAACTTGAGGTTTTTTTGATTGGGAATTAAGAGGGCTTAAAAGGAGTGAGTCATATGGATTATCATCTATATAACATCCATTATAGTTCCTTTTTAGAGCAATTGTTCCTCCAGTCCACTTTTTATTATACCCCATTTAAAACCGTTGTCATAATGAGTTTTGAGGACACCATTGCAATATTGATACTATTACAACGATAAAATCACTATTTTTCAGTAAGTTTTGAACGCATGAAATGGAATCGGCTTTTTGGAAATTAAGCGTACTTCAGACCATAGACCATATATCTGTGCATATAATTCCCAACCAGATGAAGTCTCTATTGTTTTGTTGAAGACATGAATACAATTGAGAATCGTGTTGTCTTTTTTAACATATGAATGGTATGACCTATCTATTCATTCCTAGTTAGTATTATATTGATCATTTTTCAGAAAGAATGAAAGTAGACTGATTTATTTTGTGTCAACCAATTAGTGTCTTCGAAAATGTCAATCACACCAATCAATTGGAAATCCCCAGGGACTGTTGAGAGGAAATATTGTATGACATCATTTTCCGAAACCGAGAAAGCTGTATTCCTGGTCAGGAAAAATTCCCATAAAAAGTTAATCGTGATTCTGTAGCGGAAAATATACTCTAGATGTAAGACAGGATTAACAAAAGCCAGCAAGACTATAATCTATTGACCAACCAACCAGATTTACGATGACAGGTTTTAGATTTCAGAGCGAAATTCTCCATCCGTTTGGCCAAATAGCGTTTTGGCATTTTAGCTTATGCCAGTTCGTGTTGAAAACCGTAATTCTAATTCTTAACCCTAACCACTAACTGTAAGTCATAATCCTTATACTTCACACAAGTTTAAAACCTTCATTTAGCCCTAGTATATACTAGGGCTACATATGTAGGTGGACATTCTCAAGGCAACTTCAGCGTCGCTCAAAGGTCGCCCATAAATTATGGTCTCACCAAACTAATCTCAAACTAGGTATATTACATGTTCCCACCATTGATCTTGTAAGGCTAATAGAGAAAAGTCCTGTCTCACATACCTCTTAAACTACACCAGGCCCTCGACCTTGAACTGTTGAAGAATGTGCTGGGTCGTCCACTTAAGTTAACAAATGGACTGATATAATAATATACAATGAGTGGACAATGAATGGCCATAAAAGGATAAATTGGAGAAGCGGGACAACAAGTAATAGTTTAAAACAGTTTCAGTACTGTCAAATGGAAAAAAAGAGTCCTTTCGAAATAGTTTCTTGTATCGTCTAGTAAGTATGATCAATTCAATCCCTGGATTTTTACCTCTATCGCATTTACTGCTCGTCACTCTGAAAAAGACAGAGACTCTCGATTCCAGGGGTTCGGTTATTTGAACCTTTTCCAACAGTTCACTGTCTCTTCTTAGACGGGGCTAGCTGCTTATAGGTAGCACTTCAATCTAAGACGAGCAAACACCGTATACCAAATCAAAAAGGTCTAAGCACTGATATGCCTCAAAACTCAACACACTCACCATAGAGCTCTAAAACCCGTGGCGGCTATCGTATGATAGTTTGAGGTAATTTTTAACTTTTGACAAACGATGACTCCTATGTCTCTGTGTCCGGACAACAGGTACAAATGTTATATACGAACGAATACTAGATGAATGATAGCTGCTCTGAATTGTTCATGGACTTTCATTAAATATATTTCTATTGGGTAATAATTAAGTAACTAGATTATGTATATATACATATTCCCTTTTATCAAAATCGTTCCTTTGACCTATTGGCTAATGTTAACGTATTCACAGTTTATTCGTCTTAGTATACCACACACATACCCAATTTTGGATCGGTCTTGTATAATTATTACTTCTCATTCTATGGTGTGATACGGTCTAGTTTGCCTGTATAAAAACCACGTATATCTGAAATATGCGATTCACATATCGGAGACCGATATTTGTGTTCTGGACTGGACGGATTGAGTTGGGCGAGAAGCTACTATACAGAGGACCGATAAGGCTCAGAGTTGACTCAACATTGCTAGTGCTGGTCAATGCATCACTGGTCTAGCACAGAGACAACGTCATGGATGTCGGTATTCCAATTGGTGATTTTGTCAATAACAATTGTAATACAGTTGAAAGCAGTTATCATTGACTGCCAAATTTCAGACCATTAAGATAATCTCTCTAGGTTAGTTTAAAGGTCTGAACTATTGCCATCACTTTTTATGGCTCTTTATCAGAAGCCTTACTGCAGTCAATGTAAGCTACATATATGGGCTACCTTCGATCTTTAAGAACGCATCAGATTTCATGGGTTGCCAATATGTTTGTGAGACATGAACAACCCATTATAAATCCATACTACTTTCAAGAAAGGATCAGGCTTTCGCTTGAATACTTGAATAATCCCCTCCTTAATCTCTAAAATTTCAACAACCAGCCTGGTTAAGCTTACAATTCGATAACCCTCAAGTTTATCTCGTACCTATTTTGAAAACAGAACTTACTATGGCGTTCTTCTACTTCGGGTTACAGATAAATTAAAAAGTATGCTTAAGGGTTCGGCGATAACATTTACCGATTCCTCTAGCGACCTAGCATACGTATTATCTGGTCCCATGGATGTTCCTATATGGAGCTCATTTAGCAGACCGAAGACATAGGGTTCGTTAATGGTCATGCTGTCCAGAGTTTGTAGTTGGAGTTGTATGTACTTACGACTACCTGGCCGTAGCTATGATCGTCCTCCACTATTGTCTCCCTATGATGCTGAGATGCCGCATCTTCTCTTAGTCCTTCGATTTATGTACGAGTATGAGCTCTCCTTTATATAATCTTCCAGACTTGCGGAAGACCGCGACACAAATATTTCAAGTTCCCCAACATTTAAATTTTGTCGCATCAGTATCCAGTGTCCTAAATTTCTCCTATTTTCTTTTCCTCTTACATGGATGGGTGCAAATATTCTTATTGAATCATGAAATGTATCTTCGCGAACTTCTTTGTGTAGTCCAATGGATGTACGGTGCACTACATTTATGTAAAAATTTCCGAATATCTTCCAGGCCGTTTCAGTGGGCGATTCTGATCATGTAGTCTACTTCACTGAGAATTCTGAATGCATGATTTCTCGTATATTTTCTTCCTAAAAGTTTTGTATGACTTGGGGTGACACATCGTTGTTGACGACGATATGGAAATCAGGGATTAGAAATTCATGACACACTCACATTTGTCTGTCATACGATGGAGTTTTGTGGCAAACTCTATTTATTGGGCCATTGTGAAATTTAACAAGGATGATTATGAGTTCGAGTCGTCCCTAATTGCTGCCTTCACAATTTGCACTAGGGGTCATGTGTAACCCTGCCAACCAGTTTCTGTTCATAACAATCTTCCAAGTCCGCGGACCCCAGATTTCTCCAGTCTACTGTAGGTGCATTAAGGTCTCCTAAGAATAAACGTCGACTACTTGACGACCAAGTGTCGAAACCGTCTAGTAAGACCTCATACATCTCACAGTTGGGACTGTGGTAGACCGAACCTATTAGCCGTAATCTGCGTTCCGGTCGAAACAATTAATGAAAAAGGACATAGTATATGGTCTACTAGGAATTTATTTGTCATTAACAAGCAAGTAACATTTCTAATTTACATGTGTGTTTGATTTTGAATACATGAAATACATTTTAATGTGCTTTACGTGAATAAGAATTTCACACACTAAATACTTAAATTTTGATCCTTTATTAAAAATTCGGTACTCAGTATCTGTTTAAAACAAATAAACTACCAACTGTAGTAATTTAAAGCTACTTCAGGTCTCAATCCCCGGTAAAGGATGAGGGTTGGGCATGGAGTCAGCATTGCCATCCCGTAGAAAACAACCTTGCTATAAACAGGCTAACCAAAATAAACAAATCAAATCATTTAAACTCTGCCCTCAGAGTTGAAGGAGGAATTATGATGCCTCATGGTGAAAACCGATATTTCTCAGTAGTCACAAGGCCGATACGTTTTCTAACAACCAGAGCAACAATTAGTATAGGTACATGGAATGTCCGGACAATATGAGAGACCGGAAGGATTAACCAAATATCTGGGGAAGTGAGGAGATAAGACTTGAAGGTGTTCGAAATCAGTGAAACCCGTTGGACCCAAGCTGGGCAGAAAATGATAGGTTCAGGAGAGATGCTACTGTGCCGTAGTCACGAAGAAGAAAATGCTCCGCACACTCGCGGAGTTGCTTTGATGCTGTCCAAAGGAGCATGTAAAGCACTTATAGGATGAGAATCTCGTAGACCCAGGATCATCAAAACATCTTTCAAAACAAATGAGGGAATCACAATGAATGTTATCCAACGTTATGCACCCACCAATGATAGCAACGACAACGATAAAGATCAGTTTTACGAGAGGCTGTAATCTCATAGCAAATTGCTCATGAAAAGGAGCACTGGAGCAGACAATCAGAAATACGTAGAAGAGCTAGCAACGACAGTGGAAGAGCTGCAACAGAAGAAAATATCAGACAACTATATGACACAACGAAGAAACCGACAGGGAAATATAGAAAACGAGAGAGACCAGTCTAGAACAAAGAAGGAAAGCCAATCACTGAAACTGAAGAACAGATGAATAGATGGGTAGAACACTTTGAGGAGCTGAACTGGATGAAAGATTCAGTGACACCGTACTTCGAGATCAACAGACCGAATTCCTTAAGGATCGGTTGTGCACAGACCGAATCACGACATTATGGATCATTGTTGAACAATCAACAAATGAAACTCAATTGTATGAACGAAGAATATTCTTTTCAATGATTTCTCATCAGGTTCTACAATTATAAATCGAAATTAATAATCTATAAAATTGGCCAGATTTAAGGCAGAGTTCATCATTTGGAATTTGTAATATGTTAATTGAGAATTGTTGTTTGTTACGGAAAACCAATTAAGATCGTTTATAAACTGATTCAAGTCAACACTTTATATTAAACAACCTCAACATTAACGATCTTAATTGGTTTTACATAACAAAAAACAATTCTCAATTAAATCTGGTCAATTCTACGGATTATTAACTTGGATTTATAATTGTAGAACCTGATGATAAATTATTGAAAAGAATATTCTTCGCTCATACAATTGTGTTTTAATATAAATGAAACTCGTCACTATACATCAAATTCTTTGACTATGAGAAAGTGTTTGACAACGTGGAAAGGATAACTTTATGGAACCTACTTTGACACTATAATGTACCTGAGAAAATCGTCAAAATCATACAGGATTCGTACGACGGACTACACTGCAAAGTGGTGCATGAAAGATAGCTGATAGGCGCATTGCTAGTAAGGATGCTCTACGACGTTCAACACGAGTCTTTATGCCAGCAACGTGCGCGTGTCGGAAAACCGAAGATTTGTGATTGTTTAATTTTGACAAGTGAATACTTTTGAATTCTTATTCCCTGGTACTCTTCACATTTAACTTGACCACATGTAAATTTGCAAGCTATTGGTATGTTTTTAAATGTCGATTGGTTACTAATCAGGTTTTTAATCATCTAGTGATTTTCTCTGTTCTAAACACGTTCATCTTATAGGGATTAACTAGGTTTTACATAACAATTGATCGAAAATAGATGGATGAATTTTGGAATTCAATGTTAGTGATATCTTTTTTCTCCTGTTAATTGTTTTTTTTTCCGAAAATTACAATGTGATATGTCACTGACATGAATGGTATCAGTATGTAATGATATCAGAGTAAATATATTCAAGAAAATTTAATTTAACAATAATGAAAATACATGAAAGACATAACACGTTGCAATAATTTTAACTGAGTTTTTATCATTTGCATCGATTTCTATACAGTTTATCGTTTAATTCACGTTCTTCTAAAGTTTATTGACAGAATTATGTAATGCAAAAGTGTAATACGTGACCATGAATTTAGATTTCATTTGATTGTTACTTCATTGTGGTAAAATAAGAAAGTGGTCGGCTAATATGATTCGATTTCCAATCTTCATTTTTGAAAAATAACAATTGGTTATCTGGAGGACTGTAGCATTTCTTAGAATACATAGAAGCGATAATAGTTAGAACACCGAATAAAATTAATTAAGAAGGAATTATCTTACTGCTTCTGCCAATATTACCTAATAATCATCAGTTA